ACTATAAAAGCGAGCGCACACCACTTCTGGGTGCGGTCAGGTTTTTTCTCTTCGAAATGTAATAAGGTAAGACACGTAGAACACTTTGGATATGTACATATTTAGTTGTTCATTTATTTTGATATAAAAGATTTGTAAACCGTCGTCACCTATTAGTTTTTCATTAAGTCAGGTGATATTAGTATAAAGTCATCTTTTTTATATCAATATATATATATTTAGTCGACATGTACCTTATCCTTCTAGACAATTGCTTTCCTGGCCGCCACGTTACTGTGTACTCAATCTTTAAGTTGCCGAATGTTGTGTAAGTACTATAGATATATATTTAATTTCATAGTTTAGTCATATTGTCGATATTTGCGTGTTCTCTCTCTCTCTCTCTCCGTTCTTTATATTTGCATTTGTGCGTACACTTTATGTAATATATTTATTTATTATTATTATTATTATTTATCTATTTTACTTATTTTTTGTTTAGTTTCACCACATCAGAAAACACCTCAGAACTCACTTCAGAACTCACCTCAGAATTCACCCCAGAACTCACCTTAGAATTCACTATAAATAGCTAAAAAATGTGCGTGAACAATAAAGGTGAAATTTAAAGATTCGTTGTTGAGTTATTGACTGGTACGCAGTAACAAACAGCTTATACCCATTCTGTATAAATCCAAGGATATTTCACACAAAAGGTATCCGTTGGTCAGATTTCTGGCTTAACGTGGTGTTATCATAAATACATGTATATGTCTACAGCAAATAATTCTGTTCAGTAAGGCAACATTTTTCTTATTGAGATGCAATTTTAGTAAATACATAGCTGTCATGTTGTAAATATCTACATTTATATAGTTTCATCTTCTTACTGTGAGAATTCATAGACATTATATAAAACAATTTTATTTGAAAGTGTATATATTGTGAGAATTTATCTGCACGAACTTCAAACTGAACATTATTATGAGACGTATACTGTGTAATATTCCATGCTGAAAAACAACAGGATGAGTAATAAAATTTTCATTATCAGTCTTGCACCGCCTCTGAGTTACTCTTATACAGTTTACCGCGCACGTGTTATTGGACACTGCAAGATCCCTGTTGGTTTTCTTGGAAAGGGACGGAGGGAAAGAAATATTTTCTTCTAAATACCATCTCCCCATTACTGCCTTCATGTGAACAGAAATTTCTTGTTGTTATCAATGCACAAGCTGTAGTTGACGTAAGAAACTGCAAAGAAATTACGCTGCAGTTGACGTAAGAAATTGCGAAGAAATCAAGCTGCAGTCGACAAAAGAAATCGCAAAGAAATCCCAAATAACACATTGAGTTATTTCTTCTGATGACACTTTCTCTGCATGGAAGCTTCATCGAAAACCTGTCACATTCGATTTTAGCAAATTTCAATTAGCACTTCTCTATAAAAATTTTAATAATTACTTAAAATAATGACAAGCTGCGTAAATTATAATTCAGACTTGCAGATATTAACTGATAAAATGAAAAAATATATATAATTTCAAGTATTAAATTTCAATGTGTATTGATACAGCTGTATAGATAAAGTAAATAATCAATATGAAACGAATCGGAGCATAGTGGACGGTGAAGATATGCATGTCGAGTGAGAATAAATGTTGCTGTTGTGTTGGTGTACATGTAAATAGCTTTTGAACAATTTTGATTGCACCAGCTGTAAAATCACAACTACCACAATTGCTCTTGTATTTTGTGTTGATAACTTCATGACTGGGGGAGGGAATGATATCAAGTCTATATCAAGATACTTTATGTTTCGGTAGCCTTTATAAAATACATAAAGGATTTTTACAAAATTTTATTGTGTTTTATTTAAATTCAACTAAATACACGCATACTTTTTAATAAGTAAAAGGCCAACGGAACGGTGCATAATTATGATTCTGATATAACTTGTAAACTGAGAGGTAAACGTCCTCTTTTAATAAAGACAACTCTTGACTGATGATAGGCGTCACAAAATAAATAAATAAATTACACTTACGCAGTGTTCACTTTATTGAATTTTTGTTGTGGGCCCTTTCCCTTACAGTCATAACTCAAATTTCTTAGCTATCTAAATGCAGGGGAAAATGTGCCTTATGCCACGTTCAAGGCCGCTTTCCATCTTTCTGATTGCCCTGGGCTTAATCCAAGCTTCTCATGGGCCTAAGATTTAAAACAAGAGATTTTAAAATATTAACAGCAACTTTTATTATCTTTTTAAAAATATTACAAAAACCATTGCTGAAAATCTGTAATTGCTAAGTTCTTACAATTTTGCAGTGAATATTCAGTTCTTCATAAATCTATTACCAACTAGAAATATTGATATAATTAGGTACCTGTTTGATGTAACAATATCCTTCATTCTTTTGACAAACAGCAGCTGACAGTCTATGGACAAGACTGCCACTCTCGCTATAATGCTTGTCCTTTGGGCCTTTGTCCTCAAAATATTGTTAAAGCTTTCATTTGGATTGCTGGTATCTGTTTTGCTAAGTTTTTGGGGGTCCAGTTTTGAAAAAAAGTTCAAAAGGTCTGTCTTCAAGTCTGCGCTTTCGTATGCACCATGTGGAGCAAAAGCTGTGGTCGTTGAACTGATGGCACACAACAGATTTCAGGCCCTGTTCTATTTGTTGAGCATCCCCATTAGCTTGGGCCAACATGTAAAGGAAACTCTTCAAAATAGCATTTATTGTTTTTAAACTTAATTCCTTGTGTTTGCTTTTCATTTCATATAAATGAGAAGTAATTTTTTTTTAATATGGTTTTTGTCATTTATTTTTTCCATAGTACTTGAAACTTCTCCTCTAGCTCTGTTAAAGGCAGTTGAATCGTCATCTCCTATAAGTTTTTTTAACAAGAACTTTTTTTGTTTGGCGTTTTTCAGAAGTTCTACAACCATATCTGGTCCATGGCCTTTGCTGAGCCTTCCCAATTTCTACGACATTTGTGTTTTTTGGCTGGTCTTCCTGCCACTTTTGCAATATTACAAAATCTGCATTTTTTGCACCGAGTTGTGTAGCCAATTATTTTGCCTGTTTTTTCCCAATAAGAGAAGCAGTTCCTGAAATTTCAATGTCAAACAGTCAGATAGATGCTGTGAGCTTAAATTGTTTTGTCTGTGTAATATAATATAATATAATATAATATAATATAATATAATATAATATAATATAATATAATATAATATTTTTTATACCTGAAAGACTATTGTAGGACCGCCCTGACCCTCTTTTCTGATAAGCTCCATCTGAAGAAGCAGATATTGTGTCACACTCTAAATAATATAAGAAAATGACTATGACATAATGTAACGTGGTGTAAAAATTATTTCTTTAAAAAATATAATTATTGAAAGCAAATAAATTTAAGATAATTTAAAAAAAAAAAACATGAATTACTGTATAATTACCATATTCTTCATCAACTAACGTCTCAGTGCTTGTGGATGGTAGGGAATCAGGAATTGCAGCATGGCAGTCACCTGTAATGAAAAGCATCCTTGACTTAATTTTTCTACATGTATTGTATGGGGCATTAATCATTTTATATGATAAATCAGTTGATTAATGTCTTATAAACAGTACCTTATTTTATCAAATGCATGGACATGCCTTGTATTGTACACTTCATTCAACATATAAAAATACCTCTTTTAGTGAGTTCAACTTCTTCCTGAAGTGTATGATCTGTTGACTCTCTTGCCAGCTGTTCTATTGTCGAGCCAACTTCTTCCACCCTGAGCTTCAGAGATAACTTGACACTAACCTCTTCACAATAGCCTATCTTCATCTTGTCAAGTTACCTCTGACCACTCTGACCACACAAGTTACCTCCGCCGCCCGCCAATCAAATTTAAAGCCCGCACTCAATGACTCATTGAACGATCTAGCC